CAAAGAGAACAACAACTACCAGACTTTTAGAAGACATCTGAAGGCAGCCCTGTTTAGGGAAGCTTTTAATGTTTAATAGGTTATTGTATTTTAGTGTTTTGTTGGAAGCTGCCCAGAGTGGCTGGGGAAACCCAGCCAGATGGGCGGGGTATAATTAATAAATTATTATTATTATTAAAATTATTATTATTTCAAAACAAGAAAAGGAGGGATCTTTTCCCCATGACCCATCGCCTTTACCTTCACCAGGGCCATCTTACCGATAGAGTCTAGTGGCGCGGGGCGCCAGTGCGCCAAGTTCTGGAGGGTGCCAGGGGAAAAGGCGGAGGCTGGATGCGGCGCTTCCTGGCATCAGCTCGCTGCCCTCGTCCGCCATGCTGCGCCAAAGCAGCGCCGTGCCCGGAGTCTCCGCCTGCTGTGGCCACTGCGGCATGAAGCAGCCAGCTGAGCCGGGTGGTGCCGCGTCCAGCCTGCGCCTCTTCCCCGCTGGAGGAGCCGCCCTCCAGCCGCTGCCCACGTCCTCCAGCACCGCTAGCAGCAGCGTCCTCCCTAACATAATAATAATAATAATTCATTATTTATACCCTGCCCATCTGGCTGAGTTTCCCCAGCCACTCTGGGCGGCTCCCAATTGAGTGTTAAAAACAATACAGCATTAAATATTTAAAACTTCCCTAAACAGGGCTGCCTTCAGATGTCTTTTAAAAAGAAGATAGCTGCTTATTTCCTTCACATCTGAAGAGAGGGCGTTCCACAGGGCGGGTGCCACCACCGAGAAGACCCTCTGTCTGGTTCCCTGTAACCTCACTTCTCACAAGGAGGGAACCGCCAGAAGGCCCTTGGCGCTGGACCCATAGGCGCCGACTCCATGGGGCCTGAGGGGGCCCGAGCCCCCTCAAAAATTCGTTTGGGGGGCTCCGCCCCCCCAATAATTTAAGAAAATTATTAGGCACCTTGCCAAAAACCGCGCAGGGGACTCCGGCGCGTGCCTCCCAAAGTGACCGGGAGCTCCTGAGAAGGGGCGGGCAGGTCGGTCAGTCAGAGGAAGACCCCCAGCGGCGGGACTTTAGAAAGGAATGGAGCCGCGGGGCCGAGGAACGGCGTATTCGTCGCCGGCGAGGGACCGGGGTGAGGGGAGAATGGAGGGGACGGGAGTTCCCGCCGCCGGAGCGGGGCTTTTTTCTGGGTTCGGCTAAGGTGACGTTGGTAGGAGGGGGTGGCCGCCTCCCGGCGCGAAGCCTGGGGAGGGCAGGCCGGTTCTTGCATGCAAAAGCACCACTGCCATCCTGCCGCCAGTATGGACCCCGGTATGGGCCCCCCCAATATTTTTTATAAGTCGGCGCCCCTGGCTGGACCTCAGTGTCAGGGCTGGATGATGGGGGTGGAGACGCTCCTTCAGGTATACAGGACCAAGGTTGTTTAGGGCTTTCAAGGTCAGCACCAACACTTTGAATTGTGCTCGGAAACGTGCTGGGAGCCAATGTAGGTCTTTCAGGACTGGTGTTATGTGGTCTCGGCGGCCGCCCCAGTCACCAGTCTAGCTGCCGCATTCTGGATTAGTTGTAGTTTCCGAGTCACCTTCAAAGGTAGCCCCATGTAGAGCGCATTGCAGTAGTCCAAGCGGGAGATAACCAGAGCATACGTCACTCTGGCCAGACAGTCTGCGGGCAGGAAGGGTCTCATTCCTGTGTACCAGGTGGAGCTGGTAAACAGCTGCCCTGGACACAGAATTAACCTGCGCCTCCATGGACAGCGTCCAAAATGACTCCCAGGCTGCGCACCTGGTCCTTCAGGGGCACAGTTGCCCCATTCAGGACCAGGGAGTCCCCCACACCAGCCCGCCCCCTTTCCCCCAAAAAACAGTACTTCTGTCTTGTCAGGATTCAACCTCAATCTGTTAGCTGCCAAAGGTGGACAACTCTGGGAAACGGAGGGGCGGGGGCGCCGGATGGAGCACTGCACCATGGCGCCGGATATGCTTAAGACGGCCCTGACCTTCACTTCCGCAAGGTTGGAATGTCTTGGAAACACAGCACTTCCTAATCCTCAGGTTTCTCTCTTTAGAGGTGGATGGGTTCTACTCTGGTTTAAAGAAGGTCTTAGGCTAGTAACACATTTAAAGCAACTTTATTGTACAAATAACTTCACATTAGCAGAAATTGAGTGATATTTGTAAAGAAAAAGTTGAAAGGAATGTATACCACGCAGAAAGAAATGATATTATGTAATATAAACCTGTGTAAAAAAGAATGTTATATCAAACAGTATAATGAGAAGGATGAGGACTGTGCCGATGAGTACTTTTACTATGTAAATAATTTTGTCTTTTTTTGATTTCTTTGTTTCTTATCTTTGTTACTTCTTTATTTTTTATTTCTTTATAAATTTTCTATTTTTCATAATTTTCCTTTTTTTACCTGTTAAGAGATAGTACAGAATGTTTGTATAGACATGTAATTTTTTTAACCAATACAGAATATATTTTTTTTTAAAAAAAGGCACTAGGATCCCATTTTAAACAGTCGTGGCTTCCCCAAAGAATCCTGGGAGTTGTAGTTTGTTAAGGGTGCTGAGAGATGTTGGGAGGCCTCTCATCCCCCTCCCAGAGCTACAATTCCCAGAGGAGCTTAACAATCAATCCCTCTTCCCAGGGAGCTCTGGGAATTGTAGTTCCGTGAGGGGGATACAGCTCTCTAAACAGCATCCTTAGCAAACTACATCTCCCAGAATTCTTTGGGGTGTAAGCCATGACTGTTTAAAGCAGTATCGCAGCGTTTTAAAGATATGGTATGGATGTGGCCCTAGTCTGGGCACAGGCAAACTCGGCCCTCCAGATGTTTTGGGACTACAACTCCCATCATCCCTAGCTAGCAGGACCAGTGGTCAGGGATGATGGGAATTGTAGTCTCAAAACATCTGGAGGGCCGAAGGTTGACGAAGCCTGCCCTAGTCTGTCAAATGGCCAAGTTGTAACTCAAGTTTTAACATTAAAGCTGTTGCTCTCGTCATCTCGTATACACGATATCCTCTCAAGTAAACATTCTGGATCTTGTGGATAACGTGCTCCACTATGCCAGGTTTCAATAAACATTGCCCAATTCTGTCTCGACCTATTAAGTTTCTGGGTTTTCTTTCCCTCTTAAACAGTTTATCAAGGCTGAGATCACAGGTGAAAAATGATCTTGGCAAGTAAAACCCGGGAGGAGTGGCGGCTCGTGATGGCGCCCAACTGAGAGGTGCCAGAACTGCGCTAGAGCACACTCTGGCTGGGAAAAGAAAGCACTGGCTGTGGGAATTGTAGTTGCCAGACTGCATTTGAAAAGGGAGGTGTAAGCCCTTACGGTCAAAAGACAATCTGAAAGCTTTTCCCATTTCCTTCCTCCTTGCAGAGAAATATTTGAGGTCAATTTGGGAGAGACAAAATGGCTTCAGGATTGTTCTCCTGTAACATTTCAGACACGTGGTTTATATAATTGTGTATGTGCTTGCCTCGTACATTTATGAACATTTATTTTATATTTGAAACCTTAGAATTCTTATAACAATACCACCCAACTCGGTGGCCATCGCTGCCTCTGGTGGCAGCAAATTCCATTGTTTAAGTATGAGCTTTGTGAAGAAGTCCATTTGCTTGTCTCTCCTGAATCTTCCCACATTCGGCCTCATTGGATGAACCCATTCTAGTGAGGTGCTGTATCTCTCATCAAGGAGTTCTGCAGCGGAAGGGAAGCGCCGTTGCTTGAGGCGAACTCGGGCCGAAATATACTCGGAGTCGAGAGTGGATTTCATGCTCTTTATGCAGCTGATAGTGGTGAGGAGGAATGGAAGTTCCCCCAGAATGTCTGCTTTATATACATTATTTACACAATGGGCCCCACGTGATTGGCTAATTCCCAGATTCACCTGTAGGCCAATCAGGTTGCGGATTCACTTCCACCTGGAGCTGGATTTGGTAGCTCCTGTGGACCAATCAGATTGCTGCATTCTGGACCCTATTGTTCTAGGACCAATCAGACCGCTGCATTGTGAAGCCTATTGTTCTAGGACCAATTAGACTGCTGCCTTTTGGATCCTATTCAACATAGTACATAACACGGGCGGAATGCAACATGATGCCCATTGATGTTTTTGAATTCTGGTGCTGGAGGAGACTCTTGAGAGTCCCATGGACTGCAAGAAGATCAAACCTCTCCATTCTGAAGGAAATCAGCCCTGAGTGCTCACTGGAAGGACAGATCCTGAAGCTGAGGCTCCAAGACTTTGGCCACCTCAGGAGAAGAGAAGACTCCCTGGAAAAGACCCTGATGTTGGGAAAGATGGAGGGCGCAAGGAGAAGGGGACGACAGAGGACGAGATGGTTGGACAGTGTTCTTGAAGCTACCAGCATGAATTTGACAAAGCTGCGGGAGGCAGTGGAAGACAGGAGGGCCTGGCGTGCTCTGGTCCAGGGGGTCACGAATAGGCGGACACGGCTAAACAACAACAACGTTGTCAGTTCCTATCTCTCCAGTTATCCGAATGTCAACTGGATACATGAGGCTGCACTGTTATGCGCCAAACCAGAGAAGTGAGTTGCTGGAGCTGTTATGTGCCAAACAAACTCCCCTTTAACGCATCGCATCGTTTCAAAGAGACAGGAAGGACTTGCCGCTAAAGTATTTGCAAACATTTGCCACCGCTTGGAAGAATGATTCCTTTGTGCTAAGCTACCTAGCAAAACCAAGGCAGGCTGCTTGCCAAAGAATCGGGGAGCGGGGCGAATATTTCAGTCCGGCACTGAATCCAGAAAGGCCCCAAGAAGATAGATCAGCTGTCATGTCGACAGAACTGGACACTCTGTAACGTGGGTTGGAGTTTCCGCCTCCCTCCAAATTGTGCACCCTCCTCAAATGTACTCTTGAGTTTCTTAGCACGCTAGTGGGTTTAGGAAAGGAAAAAAATATGAATGGTTGTGTTTATCCGGCCCGAAAGCCCTCTAGTGGGAAACTGAGCAACTCGCCGTGAGTCACACAAAAGAGTGACGTCGGAAAGCCTAAGGTATAAACAGCGGGACGGAAAGCTTGTCTGATGCCAGCTGGTCTCCCGGAGATCCGAGGAAACGAGACGGGGGAATTCGAGAAAAGGAGAAAGGGGGACATGAAGGAACAATGGCAGGTAATTGGCTCTGTTGGGCTGGGTTGTGAGGGGCAAGTCAGCTGGAGAGGTTTTCCCAGGAAAGAGAGAGAAGGAAAAAAACTCAAGACGTGGTGGGGATAACTTTTTCCTCCTAGCAGACAGGTTGCGTGATGTACGATGGAGGAAAGCAGAATGCTTGAGGCTGGTACTTTGCAAGTCTGTGTGTGCCAAGAAACTCCAGAGGTGGCCAGCTCTACAGATCCTGAAAATGTTCACCTTTTATCTATTTTGCATTCTGTCGTGCATCGTGCACACACGTCTATGCGATGGCAATGCCGCACAAGGAACTTTCTACGCTCGGCCTGCAACGATGGGAAATTCCATTGCGCCGTGTGGCTTTGGAGATTTCAGCTGGAAACATCCAAAGAGTGTTTCTTGGGGGGCACATGGAGCAGGAATTTGCCTGTTTTTTAAAACGGAAACGAGAGGCGAGATCTGTGCTCCTGCAGGAAAAATCACAGCATATGTATGTTTGGCGTTTGCCAGGCTGATCGGAGGCATCCAATTTCTGGGACCACAGAACGCAAGGCATGCCATTGGCCACAGCTGCCATTCCACTGTGTTTGAGGACAATTAGGAATGTGCAAACTGGAATTTCAGGCGCGCCTTTTGAGAGCACCTTACCCTCCCACATAGAAACAAGCCTTTCATTTTGGGTCACTTTTTGCATTTCGGTCAAAAGGTTTGCAGGACTAGCCTGAGGGGCAGGGGAGAGGAAATATGTCCCTGTTGCCAAGACGGTCAGGGTGCTCTCCTGTTTTGCAATGCACGTCCCCTTGTGGTGTGGCGACATAAATGACCAGACAACAAACCAGCCGGATTTGGGACTCCCGCTTCACGATTCTTCATATATCATTCCCTCTAACAGCGAGCGCAGCTGGCAACTGGCGACAGGATTGTAATCATAAGAATGTCAGAAGAGCCTTCTGGATCAGGCGAGTGGCTCAGCTAGTCTGGCACTATAGGCACCAACTCCCAGGGCCTTTTCAGTGGTGGCTCCCCATTTTTGGAATGCTCTCCCCAGGAAGGTCCGGCTGGCACCTTCATTAGACACCAGGCAAGTGGCACTGGGGACACGGGTGGCGCTGTGGGTTAAACCACAGAGCCTAGGACTTGCCGATCAGAAGGTCAGTGGTTCGAATCCCCGCAACGGGGTGAGCTCCCGTTGCTCGGTCCCTGCTCCTGCCAACCTAGCAGTTCGAAAGCACGTCAAAGTGCAAATAGATAAATAGGTACCGCTCTGGTGGGAAGGTAAACGGCATTTCCGTGCGCTCCTCTGGCTCGCCAGAAGTGGCTTAGTCATGCTGGCCACATGACCCGGAAGCTGTATGCCGGCTCCCTCGGCCAGTAAAGCGAGATGAGCGCCGCAACCCCAGAGTCGGCCATGACTGGACCTAATGGTCAGGGTCCCTTTACCTTTAAGAACATCATATCCTCCAAAATTTCTCTGGTGATAATAGGGACATCCTATTCCATAAGAGGAAACCCTGGTTTAAAACAGTGAGGACTAGAATCTTTGTGGAAGGGCCATAGGTCATGGGTTAGAGCAGTTGCTTTGAACACAGGAGGTCCCAGGATCAGCCTCGACTAGGAGATATGTTGCTCAGCTTTCCACCCCGTACAGCGAGAGCTCCGGCTTCGAGTTCCCACCTCCTCCTGACATTTGAAAACTTTTCAGAGGACTCAGGAGAGCAGAATGACGTCAGTGGCAAAGAGCTACTTAGCTACGCTCTGACAGGTAGCCGGTTTAATGACTCTGTTACGAGGTGCTGGAGCCGCCTTTCAGCTTTTGCCAGAGGCAAGGACTCTCTCTCGCTCTCTCTCCCACACGTCCCTTTCGAAGGAAGCAAAGACCACGGGGTCACGGGGACTAGAAAGGGCACTGCTATGTTTTTCAAAGAGGCTTTCAGGTGGCCAGGTGGCTTTGAAAGAGGATGGGACAAATTCTTTCTTCATGGGACTGCGGAACTCCCTCCCACAAGAGTGGCCACCCCATTTGGATGGCTTTAAAGGGGACTGGGGGAAACCCCGGAGGAAAATGATATCAATGGCTGCGCGCCACAGTGGCTCAGCAGGAGGGGAGAGCGCTCCTGTGTTCGAATCCTGACTGCTGGTTTCCCACGCAGGCATCTGGATGGCCACTGCGAGAACGGGGTGCTGGACTGTATAGGCCATGGGCCGGATCCAGAAGGGCTAAACTTACGTTCTTATGAGCGGTGATGAAGGGGGTTCAGTACAGTTACATTTAGTGGCGCATGTGAGAATCAAAAGGGGTTGTGTGTGGAGGAAAGAATGAATTATGAAAACAAACAAATAAACAGGGATTGATGGGAGTGTATTGGTGGGCTGAAAGGCAGCGGTGCCTAGTGAGTGGATCAGCCACTTTGCACCAGTGCTCAGCAAGTAGGTTTTCTTCCAACACCCCTAGCTCCCTTCAGCCTTGTGACAACCCTATAAAATATTTCGCTCAAGGAGAAAGCATCCTCCAAATTCGCTGTGGGGGGTGGAAACAGTAGTGGAGGAAGGCCGGTGTCCTTCTGGGGGGGCGGGACCCCATGGGATTGTCAAGCCTGGAACCCAGCATCTGGTTTTGAATTCAGCAACCTGAAAGAAAAGAAGAGTTTCTAGTCCTCATGAGACCTGAAAATGCTTTGTTCTTTACCCTCTGGCTGGATGCTGATGAATGTGCACCAGGGGGAAGGAGGACTGGAGTCTGACTGGGGAGAGGGGTCCGTGATCTGTGGGGACCTGTGTCAGCCAGGAGGCCAGAGTCGGAGGCAGGGGGAGCTTCAGAGCTTCAGAGCTGGAGGGTGGAGCGCTGGAGGAAGAGGAGGAAGAGGCAGGCCAGGCAAGTGAAGGACTTCCCCACAATCTCCGGCACCACTGCCTCCCAGAACCAGGAGGGGGTGAAAAGGGAAGAGCAAAGGGCATTTCCATGCAGGCCTAGTCTCTGGCTGGCTGTGTATAGCGCATTGAGGGGAAGGTATATAACTGGGGAGGGGGGTCCCCTCTTTCTGCAACTGCTCCTTAGACCTGGGAATAGCTGCCTAGATGCTAGGCTAGTGGGGGGGGCGGTATTTGGAGCCAAGAGATGGTCACCTTTGACCACAAAGAGTTAACTATCCGCCATGTGCAATTCTTTCAACAGTGTCTAGGCAACACAGTGACCATATATACGTAATAGGCAATCTTTATAGAATTCCTTCAAATCATAAAAAGTTCAAAATGAAATCTTTAGTCTCAAAGTCTCTGAAAGCCTTTAAATGAAGCGAGGGACCAAACTTTGTATGGTGGAAAACAAGCTGTGAAGCTTTGTGTATTCAACAATGATGTCCAACACTAAATTTTGTACGGTGGAAAACAAGCTGTGAAACCATCTTATTTCAGCAGTGACTACATTATTACATGAGCACTGTTCCACAGAATTTGATATTTTCATTTATATATACACTCGTTCGAAATAAGATGGGTTTATGAAGCATTCTATATCCACCCACCACGCTGGTGAAGAATTCTACGAAACAGTAGTCAATATCCGGATATCTGTTCAGTGTTGGACATCATTGTTGAATACACAAACTTCACAGCTTGTTTTCCACCGTACAAAGTTTGGCACCTCACTTCATTTAAAGATTTTCAGAGACTTTGAGACTAAAGATTTCATTTTGAACTTTTTATGATTTGAAGGAATTCTATGTTGTTGTTTAGTCCTTTAGTCGTGTCTGACTCTTCGTGACCCCCTGGACCAGAGCACGCCAGGCACTCCTGTCTTCCACTGCCTCCCGCAGTTTGGTCAAACTCATGCTGGTAGCTTCAGGAACACTGTCCCACCACCTCGTCCTCTGTCGTCCCCTTCTCCTTGTGCCCTCCATCTTTCCCAACATCAGGGTCTTTTCCAGGGAGTCTTCTCTTCTCATGAGGTGGCCAAAGTCTTGGAGCCTCAGCTTCAGGATCTGTCCTTCCAGTGAGCACTCAGGGCTGATTTCCTTCAGAATGGAGAGGTTGGATCTTCTTGCAGTCCATGGGACTCTCAAGAGTCTCCTCCAGCGCCAGAATTCAAAAGCAACAATTCTATAAAGATTGTCTATTATGTATGTACGGTCATTGTGTTGCCTAGACATTGTTGACGTTCTCTTTGCAACACAGGGTTTGTTTGGATACTACAGTGGTACCCCGCAAGACGAACGCCTCGCAAGACGAAAAACTCACTAGACGAAAGAGTTTTCTGTTTTTTGAGTCGTTCCGCAAGACGAATTTCCCTATGGGCTTGCTTCACAAGATGAAACGTCTTGCGAGTTCTTGTGAGTTTGTTTGTGCTTTGCAAGACGAAAAAACCGCAAGACGAAGAGACTCTCGGAACGGATTAATTTCGTCTTGCGAGGCACCACTGTATGTGCAATTCTTTGGCTTGGGGGTGTCCTTGACACCCTCCAAAGCTGTAGCAGAGAGATTGGACGTGTCCCTGGGACTTTGGCCGTGGCAAATAATCTCTTCCTCCCTCAGGGTGCTAACCATTTCCTATCTTTCTTCCTAGACCACTCTGAGAATCCTTGGTGCTCTCATGGGACCTCTGCCCTCCATCCCGCTGTGAATTCCCCCTCGCCCGGCCTCCTCCTGCCCTGAGATGTTCTCCAGAAGGAAGCCCCCCAGGCCCTGCCCCGCCCTCCCCAACGTGATCACGCCGGACACAATCCCCACCTTCTTCATCCCTCCCAACTTGGCCAGCCTGCAGGGGCGGTGCAGGAGCGACAGCCCCGACGGCCGTGGGATCCTGGCCCGGTCGGCCGAGCAGCACGTCATCCAAGTGGAGAGCCTGGAGGAGGGGGAGGTCCAGGCCGTGGGGCGCCTCTACAGCACCTCCTCCATGCCCCACCTCGCCAGCCCCGCGGGATTGCCCTTCCTGCCCGAGAGCCCGCACACCCGCCGCCGGGAGTCCCTCTTCCATGGCGGACGCCTGCCGTGCCGGTTGCAAGGGGCCCGGTTCACCTCCCCGCCGACGAGGCCTTCCCTGCAGCCCGGTTTGATGTTCGACAGTGACACAGCCTCCTCCACCGAGACGTCCCCTTTCAGCTCTCCCCTGCTGACGCGGCCTCTGAGCTGCCCTCCGTTCTGTCCGGCCTACCGGCATCGCCGAAGATTCGCCTTCTGCTCCAGCGAACTCGGCGCTGCCCCACGGCCCAGCTCCCTGTCCCCAGAGGAGACCAGCTCTGCCGACACCAGCCCCAGCTTTCCGCGGCGGGAGAAGGATCCCCCCTGGGGCTCCCCTGCCCCGCTGCCGCTCTTCCCGCTGGACCTGATCCGTTGCCACGAGCGGCTCACCAAGGAGGTGGTGCTGACAGTGAGCAAAGGCGGGCGGCTGAGGCTGTCCAGCGAGTACCTGCAGCCCCAGGGGCGCCTCCGCGTCCGGCTGGTGTGCGCCGAGGCCTTCTACCCTCCCCACTGCGACCCGCGACACTTCAGCTGCTGTGTCTCCTTGCAGCTGCGGCCCGGGGAAGGCCTGAGGCAGCGCAGTGCTGTCGTCAAGAGGAGCCGCAACCCCATCTTCAACGAGGACTTCTTCTTTGAGGGCGTCTCCCCGGAGGAGCTGTCCAGGTGCAGCCTGAGGCTCAAGGTGCTTAACAAGGGCTCCGGCCTCCGGAGGGACGCGGTGCTGGGGGAGTGCGACGTCCCGCTGGATTGCCTGCTGCCCTGAAGGGGGTGTCGGTGGGCGGGCAACTCCCCGACAGGAAGTTGCTGCTGTCGGCAGGAAGTCGGTTCAGTTGGCAGGAAGGGGCATGGGCAACTCACCGACAGGAAGTGGATGCTGTCGGCAGGAAGTCGGTTCAGTTGGCAGGAAGGGGCATGGGCAACTCCCCGACAGGAAGTTGCTGCTGTCGGCAGGAAGTCACTTCCATTGGCAGGAAGAGGCGTGGCTTCTCTTGCTCAGGGTCTTCCATCTTAGCAAAGAGGGTCTTTTTGCCAGTCCAGCATCTCACCATGGGACACCCAAAGCCTGTGGTGGGAATCCCTCAAGCCCACTCTGCCGCCATTGTGTCATGGAAGACCTCTGGGCCGCAGCCGGATGGGTCCTGTTTCGAATCAATCTGTGGACAGTGTGAAAAAACAGCTCTTCCTGTGTTTTGAGCCGCCGGGCTGCGTTTGACAACAACACACACACAAACACCCTGCAAATATTTCCGGGGGAAAGGTCTCAAAGTGGGGACTCTGGTTACCACATCCAGGCTCATGACTGGATGCCAACAGCAGAGGGCGCTGTCGGGCTACACATTTCAGCACTTGGGTGCCACCAACACAGCAGGAGAATCTGTAGTTTTGGAGGTGGCCAATTGTTGGGGCACCAAGAGTGAGGCCCTCTGAGGCCCATGGCACTGGCCTGACTGGTCCCTCAATATGAGCCGCTGGAATGTGTATCTCCAAGGTGACACATTCCTATATTGCAGGGAAAACACACGCACTGAGGGCGGGGAATACCCAATAATAATAATAATAATAATTTATTATTTGTACCCCGCCCATCTGGCTGGGTTTCCCCAGCCACTCTGGGCGGCTTCCAACAAAGACCAAAAATGCACTAAAATGTCACACATTAAAAACTTCCCTGAACAGGGCTCCCTTCAGATGTCTTCTAAATGTCAGGTAGTTGTTTATCTCCTTGACATCTGGTGGGAGGGCATTCCACAGGGCAGGTGCCACCACCGAGAAGGCCCTCTGCCTGGTTCCCTGCACCCAAGCTGTTCAGCACTGAGGCAGCCTGTCTCAGGAGATGATGGGGTCTTCTTCATAGGAGATATGTGAGCAGAGGGTGGACAGCCATCGGCCAGGGATGCTGTGGTCACAAGATTGTGCCCTGAGCAAATGAGGGATTGGGGTAACGGTCTGCCGGTCATCTAGCTCATTCTATTACAGTGGTACCTCAGGTTAAGTACTTAATTCGTTCTGGAGGTCCTTACTTAACCTGAAACTGTTCTTAACCTGAAGCACCACTTTAGCTAATGGGGCCTCCTCCTGCTGCTGCCGCGCCGCCGGAGCACGATTTCTGTTCTCATCCTGAAGTTTTTAACCTGAGGTACTATTTCTGGGTTAGCGTAGTCTGTAACCTGAAGTGTATGTAACCTGAAGCGTATGTAACCCGAGGTACCACTGTATTCTGCTCCCTGCTTGGAGAGAAATGGCCAGCCAGCACCCAGAATAAGCACCTTCCTTTTGGGCTGCCGGGTTCTCACGCCCATTTCCTCCTCCCATCAGCTACCGCCAGGCAGGCTACATGACCCTCAGGTTCCTTCCAATTCTCTGATTCTATGTTTTCCAAGGGTTTGAAATACAGTCGGAGCTTGGAATCCGTTCCGGAAGTCCGTTCTGCTTCCAAAATGTTCGGAAACCAAAGCGCGGCTTCCGATTGGCTGCAGGAAGCTCCTGCAGCCAATCAGAAGCAGCGGAAGCCCCGTCGGACGTTCAGCTTCCGAAAATAGTTCGCAAACCTGTTGTGTACTGAGTTGACTAGGATCCAAAAGGCAGCAGTCTGATTGGTCCTAGAACAATAGGATTCAGAATGCAGCAGTCTGATTGGTCCTAGAACAATAGGATCCAGAATGCAGCAGTCTGATTGGTCCTAGAGCAATAGGATCCAGAATGCAGCAGTCTGATTGGTCCGCAGGAGCCACCCAATCGAACTCCGGGTGGAAGTGAATCCACAACCTGATTGGCCTACAGGAGAATCCCTGAATTAGCCAATCCCGTGGGGCCCATTGTGTAAATAATGTAGATAAAGCAGATATTCTGGGGAAACTTCCATTCCTCCTAACCACTATGAGCTGAATAAAGAGCATGAAATCCACTCTCAACTCCGAGTATATTTCAAAACCAGAACAGTCACTAAGGCCCAGGGGTTGGATCCGGCCCAATTGCCTTCTCAATCTGGCCCGCGGGCAGTCCGGGAATCAGCGTGTTTTTACATGAGTGGAATGTGTCCTTTTATTTAAAATGCATGTCTGGGTTCTTTGTGGGGCATAGGAATTCGTTCATTTTTTCCCTTCAAAATACAGTCCGGCCCCCCACAAGGTCTGAGGGACAGTGGACTGGCCCCCTGCTGAAAAAGTTTGCTGACCCCTGATCTAAGCACTGCCAGGCATGGTCAAGGTTACTGAGTGAAAGAACCAGGGGTTTAGTTTCCTGCAACCCTTTAAAAATCCAGCCTTTTTACGCAACCAGGAGAATGGGCGCGTATCACTTTGTTTCCAGTGCTTTGCAACGCAGGAGGTTCCAGCTTCGAATCCTAACATCTCCCAGTGGCCTAACTCTGCAAAGCCGGCTTCCTGTGATCCTGAAATCCATTCTCTGGGTTTGCTTGAAAGAGAAGCCTTTTTGCACCTTCCGTCTCTGACAGAATTGCGGGAGTGTGCAGAAAAGATATATTCCACCACCGCTGAAAACGAAGACAGATGGTCTAATAAACCTATATCAATATTGATTCTGCGTCAGGTGGGCTTCCAACGCAGGCAAGTTTCCATTGCGTGGGTAAAATAAAATGTTTTAATGGATTGAGGGAGGGAGGGATGAAACCGGGAGATGTGTGGAAACTGATTAGAGAGTCAAGTTTGTAGCCGAAGATTCCTCATGTCTCCAGAAGTGCCACAGTAATCGGATTCCTGAGAACGGAAGCTTTAACAACAACAACAAAAACTTACAAAGTTTCTAGTCCATTTGATGGAGAAGATGGGCATGAAAGCCTGTTGGGCGATGCCGACTGAAATTGGAAAAGAAAGTGGGTACATAATAGGTTCCAGCACTAGAGGGCAGTCCTCTTTAAGTTAGAATTTTAGAGTTGGGAGGCACCCAAAGGATATCCAGTCCAACCCCCCCTGCAGGGCAGGAAACTAAACTAAAAAGTTCCAAATGCTATGACCTTTCCAAACGGGGGGGGGGGGGGCTTCTCCAGCCTCTTGATCATTGTCTTATCCTTTATCCTTATCCTACAATATCCTTTTTCTTTTTTTAATTTTTTAAAAATAAACTTTATTCAACATTCAACACATATTTACACAACAAATTGCCACATTACAGTTTATGCACGAACACTACACAAAAAAAGAAAAATACAGCAAAAATAAATAAAAAGGAAAAGGAAATAAAAAACAAAAGTAAGAAGGATAAAAGAAACTTCCGGTTGTTCTCAAAAAAACTAAGTCTCATTTGTTGTTTTTTACACAGTATCATATTATTATGCTTTGTTTCCTTAATTTCCTTCAGATAAATATTCTTTAGTTTGTTGTCTATACATTACAAGGATCATTTAAGGTCTGCCAGGAGGTTTTTGCTATCGTAATAGGTTTTCAAATATTCTTTAAATACTATCCATTCTTTATTCACCTTCTGCATTGAGTACCCTCTAAGTCTCCCCGTCATTCTGCAATATCCTTTTTCAGCTGTGGCGACCAGAACTCTATCCAAGTCTTCCAAGTGCAGCTGCACAGCATTACAATATTTGGCAGGTGGTTTTGTGTGTTTTTTTAAAATCCCTTTTCTAACAATCCTTAGTGTGTGGTTCTCCTTTTTCACAGCTACTGCTAGGAACTCAAGGTTTTGTTCCTGGTCAGTCTCCATTGTGATTCCAAGACCCAGCCTTCTTTTAAAATTCATAATTTGCACTGCAGGCAGGGAGGATGATAACAGGCATATAACACTCCCCTCAAAAAATAGATTTAGGCCCCTTCTGCATTGTACATTTAAAGCAGTATCACTCCACTTTAAACAGGCATGGCTTCCGCGAAAGAATCGTGGGGAGGGTAGTTTGTTGGAAGTTGTTAGGAGACCTCCATATTCCCCTACAGAGCTAGAAATTATCAACCCCTCTTCCCAGGTGACTCTGGAAATTGTAGCCTTGTGAGGGGAATTTAGGGGGGGGTGTCCTAACAGCTTGGTACCTTTAACAAACTCTTCTTCTTCTTTGGCGATCCCTCGTAGCTGAGTAAGATTGTCTTCCATGAACACAGTTTTAATAGTGAGTCCATAAGTGACTGTGGAGGCCAATTCTGGATCCACACGTCCTTCCACAGTGGGGACATAGGTTTCCAGGCGGGAGCTGATCACGGTGTGGATTTGCCAAGAGTGCCGTCCTCTTAGCATGTTTCTCCCTTGCGTCCTGAGTTTGAGTGTCTTCAAAGCCCATGACACCTTTGGTAAAGGCTGTTCTCCAACTGGAGCGCTCGCAGGCCATTGTTTCCCAGTTGTCGGTGTTTATACTACATTTTTAAAAGATTTGCCTTGAGAGAGTCTTTAAACCTCTTTTGTTGACCACCAGCATTACACTTTCTATTTTAAAGTTCGAAATAGAGTGGTTGCTTTGGAAGACGATCATCAGGCATCCGCACAACATGACCAGTCCAACGAAGTTGATGTTGAAGGATCATTGCTTCGACACGGGTGATCTTTGCTTCTTCCAGTACACTGGTATTAGTTCACCTGTCTTCCCAAGTAATGTGTAAAAATATTTTGGAGACACCATTGATGGAATCTTTCGAGGAGTTGGAGATGGCGTTTATAAGTGGTCCATGTTTCACAGGCATACAGTAAGGTTGGTAGTACAATAGCTTTGCAAACAAGCATTTTGTTTTCCCTGCAAATATCCCAGTCCTCAAACACTCTGCACTTCAACTGGGAGAAAGCCGCACTTGCAGGATTCTCTGGGGAAAGCCACAACTGTTTTAAAGTGGAATGGTAAAGTTTTAACTGTGTAGTTCAGATGCAGAAGATTTCCCACAGAACCACAGCAAGAGAAGAAAGGATTAATCTCTCCCCCGCTTCACGCCTGCTGCAAATCTGATTATTTTCAGCCTCCATTCCTCAGTCATTAAAAAAAACCTCCTGCCATGTTAAACAGATCTTTAACATCTGCGGTGTGGCCCTGACGCACTCCAGGGAGGAATGCAGGAATTAGGATGGGGGAAATGTTGTCACGTCATTTTCTACCACCAGATGGAAACCTTGGACCAAGTATTTCAGCGCCGGGAAACTGCATGTAAATTCTCCAGCAAGGACTCATGTTTATTCTTGGCCAATTCTGCTGCCTCTCTGTACCCGGGCAGGGTTGGCAGCTTTTAACTTGGCAAATTACGGGCAAGGCAGCCACTCCCCATTTTTTAATGGGGGTAAAAAGCTCTGGGCACCCCAGGGTTTCTCCTGACCACAACAATGCCATCATAAAGACCAGTCGCACCACTTTTAATTGTCAGATGCGGAGTTAGGAAAACAGGTCGCTGGCACCTAAGGCAGCCGGCCAAGCAATTATCTCAAAAGGGCAGTGGCTGGAGATCTTTTTTTTTTAAATGGGGATAACACTTAGCCCATTTCACCTGGGGGGAAATTGACACCTTGCCGCTTATTCCTGCTCTGGTGGACTCCCACTGCTCGTGGGATCCATAGTTATCCCTGTCGCTTCCTGTGAGAGACACCTGCTTGGTGCGCTTTCCTTCGAAGCATCTTCCGTCTGATTTGAAAACAGAAGCATCTCATGTGTGCATGTGGAGTTCAGAGAACTC